CAGGGGAAATGAGGTAACGATAGTAGGGCTCAGTCTATAGTCTCAACAGCACCAGGAGGTCACCCAACACAACAGGGTGTGTCATCTGGTACAGGTGGCGGTCAATGCCAAGACAGGTTTTATGCTCTCTAGGCTTGCCAGGATCAGGATGATTCTCCTGATGTGGTCACTGCTACGTTACAAGTCTTTCATTTATATGTTTATGCATCATTAGATCCAGGGGGCTACTCTAACCTTTGTAACTCTCCTTATAGAAGTAATCTTAGGTGTCAGTCTAGAAACTCTTTCAGAACCCTTCTCAGTCTCTACTCCAATTAGTGACCCAGTTATAGCTAGACGGGTATACATAAATTGCTCTGTCATGGTCTCCTAGAAAGTCACCTTAGAAGATCTTGTAGAGTTAGAAATGGTAGATTTCGATATCCTTCTACGCATGGATTGGTTACATTCCTAGTATTCCTCAGTCGATTGTAGACCTAGGATTGTTTGGTTTTAGTTTCTAACGAGCCAGTCTTAGAATGGAAGGGTAGTAGCTCGGTGCCTATAGGTCAAATTATCTCTTTCCTTAAGACAATATAGGTGATCTAGAGGGTGGTGTAGCACATGTTGAGGAAAAATGAAAGGAATTAGCAAAAGATGTTCATCGGCTTGCTCCCTTAGGAGTTAGTCTTACCGACACATCAGAAGGTGGTGTGATAGTATAGAATAGATCAGAACCTTTATTCGGTCTAAGACTACTCCCAACTATAATGTGTATAGACAACATAACTGAAATACTGGATAGGTCAATGTTCTGACATAAAAAATTGAGAATGCAACATTTAAATAATGGCAATGAAACATTCTTAATTGGAGCATGTATATCTTTTTATCTAACCTAGCTAGTGTAATTCATGAACTAAACGAATCTACACAACTAAGGTTCTAAATTTCATGTAAGGAACTAAGCAACAATGTTATGAAACTATGATAATATGATTAAGAATGCTATAACAGCTAAATCGTAATAATCATATAAAGTTTTAGAAACCCTCTGAAAAAGATAAAAGGAATCAAGAATCTGAATGAATTATAGGGACCTAGTGGATTAAAGGAACCTACTAGTGAAATCCCACATACCTGGTGATGAAATTCACGGAGAAATCCTTTGGATTTCGGGGATGAAACTTGAAGAACACCGCTGCTTGTTCTTGAAAGAAACTGGCGCCTCTTTTTCCTCCTTTCGTTCTAATTTGGATGTTATTTGGAGAATAAGGGTATGTCGGACTAGGTTATTAGTCTTATTCTGAGTAAAACGACATAGTTTAGGCATCAAACGACGTAGTTTAAGTCCCCAACACATAGGGGAAAGGATCAAAACGACCCTAACTTAATTTTGATGAAGCCTATCCACGAAGGGAATGACGGTCTGTCATTTGACCTACCAACCGTCGTTTCGGTTCGCCGGTCAAGTTTGCCTGACAAGGCTTCACTAAAACAAGCATACCTTTTTACTCGGAGATGGGATTTTATAAAACTTGGTGGCGTTGGAAAAATGATTCAATTATCTATCATTTGGTATGTCATGAGCCACCTAATTCGTTTTGAGTTAAGGGTTATGAACATTTGAAGTTGACCCAACAAAAATTTCCCTCTAACTGGCTGTTGATTAGACCTACGATCCGTATGTCCAACCACGGATCGTATTGGTCGATCGTGGGTGGGATTCGAGACAATAAAGAATTGGGCCTTAACGACGGAACCCCACCTACGGTCCGTGGGTAATTCTGTCGGTATTGGTACCAATTTTTTGAAAACTAGGATTTTTTTTCATTTCGAGATCCGAGGTGTTACATTATCTCCCCCTTGGGAACATTCATCCTTGACTGAAGTTTAAAATAGTTGAGTATGGAGGGAAGGAGCTGCAATCCCTACCACTAAGTACTAGAAACTGATATCTAACTGGACTGAGTTCCAAGAACATGCAAATATGTTGAAAATGCAAGTACAACTGGAAGAACATGATACTAAGATTGAATTTACGCAAGAGTGAACTGAGAGACTAGAGAGGGACTATTACCTCATGCTGAAACGGAATCGGAAGGAAAGAGACGAGGATACTTGGCCTTCATGGCTGCTTCAACTACTCATCCACCTTAGAAACACATAAGCGACCATATCCCCCATGTGAGAAAACCTCTACTTTCTACTGTTGAATTGTACCTTCCGAATGAAATAATGTATGATAACTATCCTATTTTCCCTTAACCTCCGCTACCGTCCTTATAATTCACAAAAGGGACGAAGAATTCTAACAAGAACCTATAGAAAGCTCGTGGATTAAAATCCCCAAATTTCTCTACAAGTTCAAGAATTCTAACAAGAAGCTAGAGAAAGCTAATGGATCAAAACCCACAGATTTCTATACAAGTTTAAAAATTCAATATTTCTAGCGCTCAAGTTCAAAAATGATCAAGATCAAAATCGTCAGATTCAAGATCAAGCTCAAAGCCTTGGATTTAACTAGATGTAAAGATCAAGATAAAGTTCAAGTTCAAAAATGATCAAAATCAAGACCGCCGAATTAAAGATCAAGTTCGAAGCCCTTGGATTCAACTAGAAGTCAAGATCAAGTAAAATTTCAAGTTCAAGAACGATAAAGATCAAGACCGCCCAATTCAAGATCAAGCTCGAAACCCTTGGATTCAACTAGAAGTCAAGATCAAGATAAAGTTCAAGAACGATCAAGATCAAGGTCGCTGGATTCAAGATCAAGATAACCTTAAAGTTCAAGAACAATCAAGATCAAGACCACCAGATTCAAGTTCAAGCTCGAAGCCCTTGAAATCAACTAGAAGTCAAGTTCAAGATCAAGATCAAGATAAAGTTCAAGATCAAGATCAAGACCAAGATCAAGTTCAAGAAAAATTCAAGATTAAGCTTAGAGCCCTTGAAATTATATCCAGAAAGGAGAATTCAGAAGAAACATAGAGTTTGTAACACTCGCACTTTAAATCAATAAATCGATTGTTGCAATACTTTCCGTTCTTGATTCTTATTATCAGGACGTGAAATTATTGTTTACAATTTTAGGCACGCCTAGTGGAAAAATCTCTACCTCTCATATCACCTTTTCAAGCATCACATAATATCAAAATATCTTCCACTATAGAAGAACAACTAGCAAGCTTGACTAAAGCAATTGAAGGTCAGGCAAAGTGCGCACACGAACAAGATGCTAAAATTTCCAAGCTAACAAATAGGATGGATGACATGATTGAGAGAAGATCAAGTAAAGCACCTCTAAAGCTTCATAAAATCCAAGACGAAGGAGAGTCATGCGTAAAGCAAACAAAGATCAAAGAGATTCATCTCTCTGTTGAAGGTTTGATTTCCATTGATCAATTGAAAGACTTTATCATAGAGGCTATCAAACACAAATATGAGTCTTCCTCCAAATTTTATCCTACGTATGCAAATCCATTTACAAAGAGGATTGATAACTTGAAAATGTGTGAGGGGTATCAATCTCCTAAGCTACAAGAATTTGATAGTATAGAAAATCCCAAACAACATATAGCACACATTATCGAGACTTGCAATGATGTCGGAAGATATGGTGATTATCTTGTTAAAGAGTTCGTTTGATCTCTCAAACAAAATGCCTTTGACTAGTACACTGATCTCGAACCTAATTCTATAGATTGTTGGGAGCAATTAGAGCAAGAGTTCCTCAATCGTTTCTATAGCACAAGACGAGTCATTAGTATGATTGACTTACAAAGGCTTGTCAAGGTGAAAATGAGTTAGTAGTTGACTTTATCAATCGCTGGAGAAGTTTGAGCCTCAACTGCAAAGATCGCCTTAGTGAAACTTCTAGCATTGAAATGTGCATCCAAGGAATGAATTGAGGTCTTCACTAGATTTTGCAAGGATTAAAGCCCAATACATTTGAAGAGTTGGCAACTCGTGCACATAACATGGAATTAAGCATGACTTTAAGAGTAGATCAACGATCTCATGTCTATGAACCTCATGAAAATAAAGATATAGAAGAACTCCAAAGTGGGGGTAGGTCTGCATTTGAAGATGACTTTGAAGAGTCAATATATATATATCTAAATTCTCCTAGATGCATGAGGCTAAACTGCATATCACAAAACTCTTCAAAGTTAAGCTAAATCTTCAAGTTGAAATGCTCCTAGACGCATGAGGCTAAATTGTATATCACAAAACTCTTCAAATTTGAGTTAAATATTCAATTTGAAACGCTCCTCGAAACATGATCTTAAATTGTATGTCATAAAACTCTTTAAATTTGAGTTAAATCTTCAAGTTGAAATGTTTCTTGAAAAACGACTTTAAAGTGCATGTCACAAAGCTCTTAAAATTTGAGTTTAATCTTCAAGAGAAAATTCTCCTTTAAACACAAGATTAAATTGTATATCTCAAATCTCATCCAATTTGAGTTAATTCTTCAAGTTGAAATGTTCCTCGAAGCACAAGCTTAAACCGCATATGTCACAAAGCTCTTCAAATTTCAAGATATTCATCAAACACTTAGGGCACAAATAGTTTTGACTAACAAAACTAAATTATTGTCTGAAAACATGGAAAACCAATGTTGGGATATTCAAATTCTACCACTATCATCTCATCGGCCTCTCCCTCTTTCGTTACTACCACCGTTTGCACCATTACTAGCTATGTCATCGTCGCCAACTAGACCTCCAACAATTAGTTGAACCTTACGATGCCAACACCAATTTAGGTTGTTCAGAAAATATTCTCACTTGTATTAGTCCTTTGGTGTGAATAATATTCTTATTTGGTCCTTTGTTCCAGGCTCTCCCTCCAAGATTGAAGATTCTATTTTTCTTTTCGGGGAGGAATCTTCTTCTGACATTTCAACATCTTTCATTTAAAATTATTAATGTGGTAAGAATACATAAAATATATATAAAATAATTATAATAAAAAAAACTAGTGAGGCAGCCACAAATTTCTTTTCATATTATCTAATGGCTACTGAAAATAATTTTGTGCAAGCAGCAATTCCTCGCTTTGATGGTCATTATGACCATTGGAGCATGTTGATGGAGAATTTCTTACGGTCAAAAGAGTATTGGCCAATTATTGAGGACGGCATCGACACTCCGGCGGAAGGCGAAGTTTTGTCGAATGCTCAAAAGGCAGAGTTGGAAGCAAAAAAGCTGAAAGATCTGAAAGCGAAGAATTATCTCTTTCAGGCAATTGATCGTCCCATCCTGGAAACTATTCTTTGCAAAGAAACTTCCAAGGATATTTGGGATTCCATGAAGAAGAAGTATCAAGGCTCAAGCAGGGTGAAGCGTGCACAGCTTCAAGCTTTGAGAAAGGATTTTGAAACACTGGAGATGAAGGAAGGAGAATCTGTGACAAACTATTGTGCTAGAACCATGGAAATAACCAACAAGATGCGCTTCCATGGTGAGAAGATAGCTGATGTAGCCATTGTGGAGAAGATTTTACGATCTCTGACATCAAAATATAATTATGTTGTCTGCTCAATTGAAGAATCAAAGGATATAGATGAACTATCTCTTGATGAACTGCAAAGTTCTTTATTGGTTCATGAACAGAATATGAATAAAAGTTCTGGAGTGCAGGAGCAAGCGTTGAAGGCTTCTACTAATACTTATTCCAACAACTATAGAGGTAGAGGTAGAGGCCGAGGAAGAGGAGATCGTGGAGGAAGAGGAAGAGGAGATCGTGGAGGAAGAGATTTCAGCAGAAATTACAAAACCAGCACTGATCAGTCTCAAGGCAGAGGTCGAGATCATGAAAAATCGAAGGTAGAGTGTTATAGATGTCAAAAATTTGGTCACTATGCATCAGATTGTTACACTAGACTTCCTAATGACAAAGAAAAATGTGAAAGTGCCAATTTGTCGAAATAAGGAAGTAGAAACATTGTTAATGGTTGTCCATGGTGGAACAAAATATGAGTCTAATATTTGGTATATAGATACTGGATGCAGTAATCACATGTGTGGAAGTAAATTTTCTTTTTCATCTCTAGACGAAAATTTCCACTCTACTGTAGCGTTTGGTGATTGTTCAACTGTGGAAGTGATGGGGAAAGGTGACATCAAGATTAAAACCAAGAATGGTTTTGTGGAAACAATTACTAATGTGTTGTATGTTCCTGACTTGAAAAGTAATTTACTTAGTGCTGGTCAGTTGCAAGAAAAGGGTTATGTCATCACTATCAAGAAGGGCGAGTGTGAAATTTATGATCCTGTGAGAGGAGCTATTGCAGTAGTTCAAATGAGCTCCAACAGATTATTTCCACTAAGGATTGATAGCATCCAATCCTGTTTGATGGCTGAAGTAAAGGATTCATCCTTGTTGTGGCACTTCCGTTATGGTCACTTGAGTTTTGGAGGTTTGAAAACACTCCAACAGAAAAACATGGTTACTGGTCTTCCTCAAATTACTGCACCTTCCAAAATTTGTGAAGAATGTGTTGTTGGCAAACAACATCGCTCTCAATTTCCCAAAGGAAAGTCATGGAGAGCAAAGGATGTTTTGGAGCTAGTACACTCAGATCTTTGTGGTCCGATAAACCCAACGTCTAATGGAGGTAAACGGTATTTAATTACTTTTACTGATGATTTTTCAAGAAAAACTTGGGTTTATTTTCTGGAAGAAAAATTTGAAGCTTTTTCAATATTTAAAAACTTCAAAGTTCGTGTGGAAAATGAAGCAGGGAAAACCATTAAGGCTCTCTGAACTGATCGTGGTGGCGAATACTGCTCAAAAGAATTTGAAGAGTTTTGTGCAAAGCATGGCATTTGGAGAGAGCTTACAGCTGCGTATACACCACAACAAAATGGTGTGTCGGAAAGGAAAAACAGAACCATCCTCAACATGGTGAGAAGTATGTTATTGAGAGGAAGCATTCCAAAAACTTTCTGGCCAGAATCAGTGAATTGGAGTGTTCATATTCTAAACAGAAGTCCAACTTTTTCTGTTAAAAATATGACACCCGAGGAGGCATGGAATGGGAGAAAACCAACAGTAGATCATTTTAGAATTTTTGGATGCATTGCATATGCCCATGTCCCGGATGAAAGGAGGAAGAAACTTGATGATAAGGCTGAAAAATGTGTTTTTCTTGGTGTGAGTGAGTCTTCCAAAGCATATAAGTTGTTTAGTCCGTTGACTAAGAAGATTGTTATCAGCAGGGACGTTACTTTTGATGAGGAAAGCACTTGGGATTGGAATAGGCAGCAGCCTGCTACCCAAATCCTATGTGACAGTGACGTGGAACAAGAGCAATTTTCAGCACCTTGTACACTTGAAAATTCATCAGATTCGGCCCCTATAACTTCCCCACCAGTTGCTGTTGCAAATGAAGAAGCAACTCAAACTCTTGGGCGTGTTAGAAGAAGGCCTGCTTGGATGAAGGATTACAAGGTAACTGGAATTGAAGATCCAATTACTCACTTTGCTTTATTTTCA